CAATTCATAATTAGGAACAAAATTAAAATTTTTGATCAAGATAAAAAAGATATAAACCTCTTAAATAAAATAATATATTCCCACACATATTTCCATAAAAACTTAATAATTTATATAAATACAAAATACATAAGTTTACAAAATATATCAGAGCATTTCCAAATTAAACACTTAATACATCCCAACAATTACAATATTACAAAACACATAAATTTAATTTGTTCTGATCTGATCTTCAAACATGTATGTTATCCTCGACCCGATCAATCTTCAGCTTTCTTCAAACCTACGCATGAGAAAAATTCACACGCTAAGTCGATGACTTAGTGAGGAATTTACTAATAGAACTAATTTACTAAACAAAAAATCTTATTTGTTTTATTCAAAATGTTTTACAAAGAACTTTTATTAATTTCTATATCAAAAGTATACTTATGAATAGTTACACTTTGTATGTCTTTGCTCCAATTTGCCCAAGGTATATTACTGAGAAATCTAGGTATTTGAGTACTATAAGGTTGTGCACTAATGCTGTCACCACAACTCGTAATATGCACCGAAGTGTCACATAATTGTCCCGAAGGACCATATGGTTTGCACTGAAGTGCCACATAGGGTTGTATCGAAATGCCACATATTTATCTCGGAGGACCAATAAACCCTCAACTCTTGGCATGCCAACTATACCTCTAATCCTCATATATATACTTTGGGCTACTAATCACATAATTAGGTTCAATCATTGTTCGAAGTGTTTCTTTTTCACATAGTTTCTCTTTCATAGAGTATGTTCACACTTCCTTGTTTAAAGTTCACATTTCCATAATCATAAAACGTAGCTTGAATAATATAAATTGAATAAAACATTGCAATATAATAATAAAGAAATTATAAAGTTTTCGATTGAAAACATTGAGGTTGGCTTATCACAAGCCTTCCTTAATCGCAATACAAAACCGAGCAGTTGCACTGATTGAAGTCTAATCCAAAACCTAAACACCTTTCGAATCGATACTTAATTTGTCGAGTTGACCTGAATTCAATTACGTTCAATCCCTACACAAAACAATCGAAAAATCAATATCGTTCATCAACTTGATAATATCAAATCAGAATAACTTGGGATGCAAGAAACGCTATATTTCCATTTCATGTTTAGAAGTATCGGTACTACCCTAACAGTACCGATACTTCCCTTCAAGGGTATTGATACCCCCTTATGGTACCGATACCAAAATAACATTTGATGTTTCAAGGGTATCGATACCTCCTAAAGGTACCGATACCAATCTGGCATTCGATGTTTTAAGGTATAGATACCATCCTTTAGGTATCAATACTACCCTTATGGTATCGATACCTCTTCAATAGGTATCGATACTACCCTTAATACTTTCCCAGATTTTAGCCTTGAAGTATCGGTATTGGTCTAACGGTATTGATACTCCAAACCCAGAATTGCCATTTTCACCCCGAAAATCATTCTAAAATCCTCCCAAATGTCTCATATACACATATCTTTAGCCTTTGAACTCACCTTAATACTTCCTAACCAACTTGTACTCATTTAATACTTCCAACATCCCAAATTCTCACTAAACACTTTTAAGAATCATGACATGTTTTCAACTAAACTCTTACTCATGTCTAATACTCCTAACCCTTTAATATACTCATTGACAAATCAAAAATCTCATCAAAACTTCAAAAACTACTCCATATCAAAATTTCATTTCAAAACCCATTTTATAAATTCATCTCTAAAACACTCATCTTGTTGTTATATTCCTCTACAAGCCCTTTTTAAGGATATATATAACACCCAAGCATTCATTAACAAACCAAAAACTTAAAGGAAACCCATAATTTCAAAATCTTACCTGGAAGATGGGTTTCATATAGAAGAAGAAAAGAGAAGGAAATGGTTCCAGAATTTAATTTGCTTTCTTCTCATACCCATATGCACATCTCCATTAAAAAGGATTATAAAATCCCTCTAGTAAAATACCATATTGCCCTATTCATTAAACCAAAATTTCTATTAAGCCCTACACATAAATTTCACTATAAATCCTTGAGTTTACAGATTTATTCTAATTTAAACACTGAGTTTAGAATTCTTACAAGTTGATCATTGACCCGATGATTGGGATGTTACAAATATGTTAAGGATTGAATAGATTTAGATAATACTTGGTAGATTCCCTTACGAGTATGCCATTAACCACATGTTTATGCATCTAGCAATGATTAAAACTATTTAATAGACATAAATCAACTATCATTGATTTAATCGATTAAACTATTAACGATGCTAGATTTTGGACAACATATATCTCGCATACAATCTAGCTTTTCAACAAACCAAAGCTGACATCATAATAAACATCCATGAAGATAATTATATTTCTACAACTATCTTTGAAAGTTTAATAGCATATAACATAAGGTCAAAGCATAAAGCGTAAGAAAAGTCCACAAACGACTAAATTCATAACCAAAATATCATCCTAAGAAATTAATTATCAGTAAAATATAATTGTTACTTTCCTATCTCAAACAAAAAGTAAGAGCAGAAAAGGAATCTTCTTGACCACCGATGCTACTCGACAAAGATCCCAAGCTGTTGCAGCTCTCCCTACAAGGAACTTAAGCTATCATGGCTGATTGGAAGGTAGAATAAGTGGAGAAAATATCTAGAGATAGAAAAATCTCTCCAATTGATACAAAGAGCTCCAATTTATAGGATAAGGATTTCGTCCTACAACGGATAGGTTTCCTCCACGTTTCATGTGATTTTGACCATTTGACAGCTGTCCATCCAGAATGTTTCCGTAACCGCCAGTGAGTCATCAATTTCTACGACCTTTGTACAACATTATCTACAACTTCAAGCAATGCTACATCATCAGTGTATCATTTTTCAACAATAAAACCAAAACCAACCCCAATCATCTCAACTAAATTCTATGATACAAATGATGCAAAAATTATGTACAAATGATCCTAATATGTTCCTAATGATGTTATATTTCAAACTTAACCTAGGGAAAATTATCCTAAAAGATAACTTTTTTGGAGAGTTATCAGTTTCCTAGGTACTGGGCAATGTAGTCTTTTCTAGATGAAGATTCTGACGCTATGTGACCGAAGTTTTATCTAGGGTACCTTGGGCAGGATAAAGGGGTGTGAGTCTCGAGATGCCAAGTAACCCTTCGACTACACCATGATGACTACTCTTGTTTGTGTGTTTGATGATTGTGTGTTGTATATGATGATGCATAATTGTTTGATATTGTGGTTAGAGACCCAATATATGTATACTCATGGCGAGAACCTTAGTAGACTAAAGGAAGCATAAGATTCAAACTATTGTGATAGTGGATGTACCTTGAATAGATGGTTTAGCAACATTGATGGCATAGTAGTATTGCTTTTCTGATTGTACTTATTTGCATGCTTATAATATGAATACAAGTAGTGTAGTGGAGGTATTGTGTGACATGGGGCTTGCGAGCTCAACATTCAGAATATGTTTTCGTTTGCAGGTTTCGTGGAGTGCAATTGGATAATAATATCAACAGAGGAGTCTTAACAGAGTATTAGAGTACAATGATAATGACTTAGTGGGCATGTAGAAGTCATGATTTAAAATGAGTCAACTTATAATATTTCAATTATTTATTTTATTTATCGAGTTTCTATATTGAGGCCATGTTTTTTTTAAATGATCATGGTTTCATAATATGCGTAAATGTTTTAAAAGTGAGTATGATTTCAAAAAAAAAAATGGTTAGTCATTATGATGATTTCTTGTGATACTTGAATCCTCGGGATTTGAGGGTTACAATTTGTATATTCGTTATCAAAAGATTAGATATCTTTTTAAAAATATACTACCGTTATTGAAAAAATAGTACTTTTTACTTGTTTATTTTTTTAATTTCATATTTGAATTATATTGTTTTATTACACATGCATTTAATTTCATATTTGGATATTTATTTTATGTTTCAATTAGATTTTAAGTAATTAGTTAGGTAATTGAATATTTGTTTGGGTTTGACTTATTTCATTTCTTAATAGTTTTTACAACTTTTCTATATTTTCTTTTTCTTTAATTGTTTATTGTATAAAAATAAAATAACGTAGTACAATATTTAAAAACAGGGTAGGTTGAATCAAATTCAAACCTTGAATATTAAAATTTTTACCAATATATCCTGTTGTTATTTCAATCATTTATAAATCATGAGTTGAGATTAGAATAGATACCCCGGGACTTGGGCAGATGTAATCAACAAATAACCCGTGTATGACTTACAAGCGAAAATATCGAAATGAAGACAAATAGCCCATACTTTATAGTTATTGGGGCATTGCAAGATCACACGTGTGTATTGTATCACGTGTAAAGCCCACTACTCTATGTTTACCTAATTTAAACAGCGGAAGCCTATCTATAACCCATCTTCCCTCTCAAAAAAAAACCCCCATAATGTGAGCCAACTTTAGACAAAGAGGGGAAAGCCGAACAAGTGTTTGCAAAAATGCTTACAAGAAACTCCGTTTCTCAAACCCATCAATCAACCCCACTCCGGAGATCTGCAAGGCTTCTCAATCGGAAAAACCCCATAAACCCAAAAGAGTTGGTCGTACCAAAGTCAAAATCCAATGAAAATCCGTTCGTTCCACGGTTAAAGTTTCCCAGAAGCTGATAACATCAATCGACGGTCCAACAAATTGTGAGCATTCGAAGTCTGGTTTGCGAAGATCTCCGGACTGAACAGTGCATCAAGGTCACTTTCTACAACTTCTGTGAATTCAACGTCTTGGTTGAAAAAATCTTCACGGTTGAACAGAGGGTCTTTGTCTAACAAGCCAGAGGAAAGCAGTTCTTTTTCCACGAAGAAAGCTAAGTCTAGGAAAAAGACGAGTGTAAATGGGGAACTGTTGGATGGAGAGAAAAGGGAAGTGGAGAGAAAGGAAAGGGTAATCGTTATTGGTTTGGAAGTGGTTTCAGTGGAAGGGAGAGAGTTTAAGAAATGAAGATTTTGGGGTTAAGAAAAAGAGGAAGCCTGACGTGGAAGCTGATGGAAATTTTCAAGGATGGACAAAAGAGCAAGAATTGATTTTGCAAAGAGCCTTTGTTTCTGTAAAGCCAACGCCTAATTTCTGGAAGAAGGTTTCCAAGCTGGTATTTTCCCCCATTTCCTGATATCTGGAGTACAATTTCTTGGATTTTCTTATGTTACATATTGCTGTGGATTGATGTGCATATTCTTTAAATCTAAGGGTTATAATGCCGACTGCCAAACTAGAAGAACAGAAAATAGAGAGTAGATGCGCTGCTTTTTTTTAATGAATTGTAGTGCGTATTGGTTGATAGTTACTGGCCTTTAAGTTAAATTAATATCTCTTTTTTTTTCTTCTAATAATAATGTTTCCTTTTTCATCAACTAACTTTGGCTTTAATCCTAATGGATGATGTACTGCACGCATTTCATATCTGCCCCATTTTGATTAGTCTTGAGTGAATTCAAAGATCAAGGAGACAAAACATATAGGCTTAAGATGTTTTACGGTGAAATTTGATATCCGCTGCTTACAGCTTACTCTTGAAGCAAATCTATGAATTATGATATCCTTTTCCAACCTATACTAGGGCGAAGTTTGGACTTACAAGCTGCTTATATCTTCTGTTTGTTTCCAAGATGTTTAATTTTACTTAATCATTCATGAAAATTCATACTACTATGAACGTAGGATGTATCTATTTTTCCTGCACTGTCTCGGACATGCTTGGCATTTGTCTCAATTTTCTTTATGCTAGAATCATTTAAACTTCTTGTCTAGTTCTACAAATAAACCCTGAATTAGGACTATTTATGAGAGAAATATATCTGCCTTTTTCAAAACCGGTTGAATATCAAACGAATTAAATGTTGAATGTAAATTGTTGCTTCGTGGTCAAATTTTCTCGTTATGGAAAATAGAACATTCTATTAATAAAGGGAAGGGAATATAATTATAAAATCACAGCATTAGAGCAAACGGAGCCAGACTAGAATGGTATGTTACACTTTGTTCTGTTTAGATTAATGCAGCACTTTATGGTGCAGTTGTATTTATATTTGAATGATTATTCATAAATTTACCTAGTAGTGTCTGCGTATATGAATCTACTCTTCTCCAAAGACTTACTGCTGTTATGTGTTTTGGTGTCGAATAGTCTTCCAGTTGCTATTATGCTGTAAGCTATAGCTGATATGCTTTATATGCTGATGTGTTTTACCTACAATGAACATTTTCTCCTGATATTATTGTTTCAAGACTTGATTATGAGTAAAAAATCTGATGCAGGTGCCAGGAAAATCTGCACAGGATTGCTTTGATAAGATCCACTCTGACCGTTTAACTCCTATTCAGCCTCAGCCTCGATCGAGGTCAAAAATAAAAAAATTGTCGCCCATCAACCACTTATCATTCTCTGCAAGCAAATTTCTTAAACCTGTTTTGCCAATGGATAAAAGGTCGAGTAGTAGTAAATGTAAAGGCCTTCTTGTGCAGAAAAAAACGTTGAGACATTTGTTGCAGAAGCAATGTTATGTGAACCAAGGTGATGAAGCAGATATATTCTCCATTGTTGAACCCTACACAAGTCCATCTATCCATGCTACAGAGAACGTTGCGTTGTCCACCCCAACAAAGTTATTTGTAAAACAGGGATTTCTCCAGAAGTTTCATGAGAGATCTTCTGGTTCAAAGAAGCCCCAGTCAAAACTTGGCAACTCTTCCAAAGAAGCTCTTATTAGTCCCCCAGTGTTGAAGCAGATAAAAAATAGAGCCTTACATGAGAAGTACATCGACCAGCTACATTGCAGGGAAGCTAAGAGAAAAGCAGAATCCGCAAGAACAGCAAAAGTTCTCGGAAAGGAGAATCTGGAATCTCAAATTCATGGAACCGATAAGGTTCAAGCAGCGAAAAACAAATTGGTTTGTGACGCTAAAGATGTAATTAACCAGCTGCAAAATCTGCAGACCACTTCTGCCGATAACTCTCTGGATTTGGATAATGATGCTGATGTTGGTAGTGGCGATGATGAAGGTGGTCTTCAGCTTTAATAAATTGTTTTAGTTGTATCAGGATCTGCTATAGCTAAGAATGCTAAGTAGAGCGGCTGACTTATGACTCCTTGTGTAGCCTAAATCAGGCTTTGGAAATTCCACACTGTAAATAATAACTTTGTTTTTTTTAACAACTTTTTTCAGCACGATTAAAGAACACTTTTGGGCATTCGTGCATTAATTACTTCAGGAGGCATGCAATTGGATTTATTTGGGGATGAATTAGATTGAAGGCTATCGAAGGCCATTTTAAAGTCCATTTTCATAATCCTTTACACAACTCATCAAGCCCAACATTACCATCGACCCAAATTAAATATCCACTTCATTTAAACCCAAATACCATAACTTATAACCCAATACCCATTACACAAATAACTAAGCCTATCAACCCATTGCCTTGTAATGTGACTAAACCAGAAACCCTAGCTAGCAGCCGCCAGTTGCTACTTGAGCCCTCCATGCCAGCTGCACAATCCAACAATCACTGTCGTTAACAGTGGATCATCTGATGGTCTACCTTCGTTCATAGCTTCTCGCACGAGCCACCTCACGTGACCAGTGGTCCCAATGTTTCCCACCAGCGAGCAATGGTTCCTATCGAACCTCACGAGCAAAGCCTCCAAATGGTCCCCTCTCATGATTGTCTCTGCCAAAACGGTTGGTAGCAGGATGGCACCGAAATCCTCCGCATCACATGCACAAAGATAAAACAAAAAAAGAATTTGTAATTTGTTTTTAGGAATTTTGTAATCGGGTTCTATATAAACCCACACAGAAATCACAGTAGAGGAGGTCTCTTCTTCCTCATTTTTCAAGAGTATTTCGAAGCTAGCAATGTAACCGGGGTTTTCCCCTATTTTTCCCAAGCCATACAACACAGTTCCCATTCATTTTTTTACTCAAAGACAACAAGCATTTTTCTTTTTCTTTTTTTTCTTTAGAATTAACAAGCCAATAAAAAAAACCAAACAGTAAAGGGGGAAAACGAAATAAAAAGAGAGAGAGGGTTTACCTCTCGGCCGATACCTCGCCGACGATGGGAGCCTCCAATGACGAATCCCAATGGTGAGGAAAGGCGCACGAAGGAGGTGAACGACATATCTCGGAGTCGAGATGATCCAACGACGGATGAAGGAGATTGGGGCACCGAAAGTCGAAGAGTCTCGACATTTTCGTGGACTTCGAGGCCAAATCTCGCGAAATGGAGACCAGATCCGGACTCCCGAAATCTAGAGAACTAAAGAGAGAAGAGAGAAATTTTTTTAGAGGAGACAAAGAGTGAAGATGAAAATTGAGGAAAAATAAGAAACAAGGGGCTTTTATAAGCCAATCCAAACGGTGTCGTTTTGACCCTTATCCGTGAGTATTGGGGCTCTAGGGTCTAATTCCCTATATAGCCACCTTAATTATTTCATTATTACAATTTAGTTACTGATTTTATGATATTTTCTTAATTAATCTAAATATTCGTCCTTATTTTGTTATTTTCCATATTTGTATATTAATACTAATTTTTGGTTTATTTTCTTTTAGGCCTATCCTTTAGGTATGTTTTTGCATATTGGTTCTGTTTTATTCATTCAATTGCATTTTTAATTTTGCATCTATTTCAATTTAGTCATTATATTAATTTGCTTGTTTTATTAGGTTTTAACCCTTAATTATTTCTACAAATTTTAATTAGTCCCTAATTTTAAATTGATTGCAATTCAATTCTTGTTTTTTTATTTCAATTTATTCTTTACTTTAAATCATTTTATTAATTTCTTAATTTTGTTTCTTTTCAAGTCATTCAAATCAAATTTCTGATATCATAGTTATTTACTTTAAATTATTTTTTTACTCATTTAATTCTTTAGCTCGCTTAGTTTATTTTCTTAATTTATTTATTCTTTTAAATCATTGATTTAATTAGATTATTTAATAAGTATTCTAATTTCCTTTTTTTCATTTCTTTTCAGGTATATCATTAAGGTATATTTTCTTGATTAATTTAATTTATTTTTTTTAATTTAGCATTTTAACAATTATATTTCAAGTTTAATCCTTTATGCTTAGTTTCTTCTCATCTTAGTCCTTTAAAATAGGAGAGTTTTCAATTTGGTCCTCGCCTTCATACTCAAGGATTAAAATTGACGTTCTGGTTAAAATAATTAATTCGATTAATAACTAGAGCCTTAGTTTAGATTTAGTCCCTTGACTTTATACTTTTCACATTCTAATCCCTAAACTTTTAATTAAATGATCCATTTGACATAATTGATTAGGTTAACAATTAGAGACTTGACACTAGGTTCAATTTCATTTTAGTCCCTTAATTAGGGGATGATTCAATTTGGGCTTTCGCATGAAAATGTTCGATTGCTCAAATCAATTATCTGATTTAATAATTGGTAAATAAAAATAATATGATTACTATTATAGACTTCCTTAGCCCATTAGGTTCTTTAATTTCATAATTGATACGTAAGTTAGGAAAGCCTTTAATAAGCTCACTTAGTATAATTAGGTTCTTAAACCCGTTGATTGATTGCATTTCTTTTTCAAACACAAGACAATGTTGATTTATTAGGGAATCAATAGTATAGTCCCCGCCATTATGCTCTGGGGGCTACCACTGGTGATTCCCGAAGTAATTCAACATCTTTTTCAAAACCCTTTATTTTTTTAAATCTCGAGGCAATTTCTAATTATTGGGCACAATAATTGATCTCCCACATTCATGCTAGGGGTGAATATTATTGTCTTTAATAAAGAAACACCCTTTTTAACTTTGCTTCTATATTGATTTCTAAATTAAATAAAATTTCAAACTCTAAATTTCCACATTTTAAAACAGGGTAATCAACTAGGCACCAATTTCAGGGTGCTATGGGGTGCTAACCCTTCCCTACACGTAACTGACTCCCGAACATATCTTCTGGTTTTCGTAGACCCAAACTTGATATTTTGATAAAAATAAATTATTTTATTAAATTATATGGTGTTTATGGTGTTTCAATCACACCTTAAAATGGTTGGTGGCGACTCACAACATTTCATAAAATCATTTCAAAAAACCATTTTAAAGAAATCTCCCAAGTCGAACTAGTTTTTTTTTTCAAAAAACCTTTTCAAACTCAATTATAAAAGAAGAATGAATTTAAAGAAAGCTTAGCAAAGCTTGTAAACTAGCAAAAGATAGTGTCGCAATATTGTAATATTGAGAGTGTCTTAAAATATTTTGTTTCGTATCAATAAAAAAAGTTCGAGTTATAAATTATCGTGAGCCCATCTACGCTTCCAACAAGTAGCCTCAGATCTTGGTTCGAATTCAACGTGGTGGAGAAGATGGCCAGTATGATTCAACCATAAATTCCGAGATTGACAAAGACGAATTACGGAAATTGGAACATTCAAATGAAGGCGTTACTAGGCTCCCAAGATTGTTGGGATATCATCGAGGATGGTTACACCGAGCTTGAAAATGTAGCAGCAGAAGCAGTCCTGGCCAATGAAGAAAAGAAGGTATTGAAGGAATCCCGGAAAAAAGACAAAAGATCGTTGTTCTTTATTTTTCAAGGAGTAGACGAATCTACCTTTGAAAAAATTTCTGATGCGAAGACCGCAAAACAAGCATGGGAGATTTTACAAAAGTATCTACAAGGTGCCGAAAAAGCAAAAAAGGTACGCTTACTCTCCGAGTTGAGTTTGAGATGTTAAAAATGAAAAATACAGAAACCATCAATGATTATATTAGCTGTGTGAAAGCGTTCGTAAATGAAATGAAAAGAAATGGTGAATCACTCGACGATGTTAGAGTGATAGAAAAAATTTTGTGGTCATTAACAAGAAAATTCGATTACGTGGTGGTGGCAATCGAAGAATCGAAAGATTTATCTCAGATATCGATCGATGAGCTTGTGGGTTCACTTCAAGCCCATGAGCAAAAAATAAAACAAAATGAAGATTCTGAAAATCTGGAGCAAGCTCTACAAAGCAAGATGAATGTCAACAAAGGGAAAGCTAGCAGCAGCTACACACGAGGTCGAGGAAATTATGGCGGTTATCATGGAAGATACAGAGTAGAACGAGGAACTCGTGGACGTGGTGGTCGATCATATGACACCATTCAAATAACTGAGAACAATCCAACATCAGGTCGTGAACGAGGATTCAGAAGCCGAGGTAGGGGCAGATATCAACAAGGAAGTAAATTCCAGGTACAATGTTATAATTGCAATAAGTATGGTCATTATAGTTATGAGTGTAGATCTGCTCCTAAACAAGATGAAAGAAATAACGTAGCAGCTGTTGAAGAAGAAAAAATTGAAAAATCTCATGTATTCCTCACTTATAAAGGAAATGAGGAATTAAAGAAAAATATTTGGTATCTTGATAATTGTGCCAGCAACCATATGTGTGGTCAAAGGGAACTGTTTGTGAAATTAGATGAAACAGTTCATGGGCGAGTAACGTTCGGAGATGACTCGCACGCAGAAATAAAAGAAAAAGGCGAAGTCATGATTACTCAGAGAAATGGAGAAAAGAAATATATTTCAAATGTTTATTATGTACCTACTTTGAAAAGCAATATCATCAGTCTTGGTCAAATCCTGGAAAAAGGATCGAAATGCAGATGAAGAATCGCTCGCTTGCCATCAAAAACAAAAAAGGAGAATTGATAGCCCAAGCTGATATGACTCGAAATCGTCTCTTTACAATTGATATCGAGTCGGGAGAAGTCAAGTGCATGAAGACCGCGATCAAAGATGATTCATGGCTATGGCATCTAAGATATGGACATCTTGGATTTTCTAGTTTGAAGCTGTTATAAAAAACAAGCATGGTGAAAGGACTACCAGAGATCAACCCTCCAAATCAATTATGTGAGGCTTACATCAAAGGAAAGCAACATAAACAAAGCTTTGAAGTTGGTAGATCCTAGCGTGCCCGAAGACCGCTGGAGAGAGTACACACAAATATAGCTGGTCCTTTTGATATATCATCGCTTGGCGGTAACAGGTACTACCTAACTTTTATTGATGATTTTAGCAGGAAATGTTGGATTTACATCTTGAAAGAAAAGGCAGAAGCGCTGGAAAAATTGAAAGAATTTAAAGTAATGGCGGAAAAATAAAGCGGTCAATATTTGAAGATACTCAGATCAGATAGAGGAGGCAAATATACATCAAAGTTATTTGAAGAATTCTGCAAGGAGCATGGCATCATCCATCAGCTGACAGCCAGATACACACCATAACAAAATAGAGTTGCAGAAAGAAAGAATCGCACAATTCTTGACATGGCGAGAAGCATGATAAAAGGCAAGCAACTACCGAGAAATTTCTGGGCTGAAGCAGTTCGATGTGTAGTTTACCTATTGAACAGATGTCCAACAAAAAGTGTGAAGTATATGACGCCAAACGAAGCATGGAGTGGTCAGAAACCAGGAGTTTGACACCTCAAGATTTTTTGATGCATCGCGTATGCCCACGTTCCTGAACAGACCAGAAAGAAGCTTGATGACAAAGGAGAAAAATGCATTTTCATTGGCTATGATGAAAGAAGCAAAGCTTACATATTATATAATCCTCTTACAAAGAAGATAATAATTTCAAGAGATGTCGAGTTCGATGAAGCAGACTATTGGAGATGGAGAAAAGAGGAAAAGAAAGTTGAAGGACTATTTTTTAAAGATGACGATCTTATCAATCAAGATGAACAAGCTGATGATCAAGGTCCTCAACAAAATGTACCATCATCCTCAAGCTGCAGCAGCGATGCCAACAACATAATAGAAGATCCTGAAGCACCTCCCACATAACTTCGAAGATCCATAAGAGATAGAAGAATGCCAGAAAGGTACAACGATTATGAACTAAATAATGTTTCACTTTTCTGCTTGCTTGTGAACAGTGATCCAATAACATACGCTGTGGGATTGGTAAGCAGATTCATGGAGAATCCGAAACAAGATCATTGGATTGCAGCAAAAAGAATCCTCAGATATGTCAAAGGTACAACAGGTAATGGCTTATTCTACACGCGATCAGAAAATTCGAAGCTAGTTGGTTATTCTGATAGTGATTATGGGGGAGACTTAGACGATCGGAAAAACACAACTGTATATCTATTTCATATCGGCTCTGTAGCATTTTCATGGTCATCAAAGAAGCAACAAACGGTAGCTCTTTCAACATGTGAAGCAGAATACATAGCCGCAATAGCGTGCACTTGCCAAGCAATGTGGTTAAAGAATATTTTGCACGAGCTAAATTTGGCACAAGAAGAACCAATTACAATCTATGTCGACAACAAGTCTATAATTTCTCTTGCCAAGAATCCAGTCTCTCATAGCCGAAGCAAGCATATCGATACAAAGTATCACTTTATACGAGAGCAGGTGAAGAACAAAAATGTGGAGCTAATTTACTGCAAAACTGAAGATCAACTAGCAGATATTTTCACAAAACCATTGAAAGAAGATATATTCAACCGACTCAAAGAAAAGCTCGGAATGGAAAGTCGAGTTTGAGGGGGAGTGTTGGAAATTCAAACTCAACGTGGCAATGTGGCAGTGCACTAGCACATGTCGGTAAGAAGAGTTTAGAAATCTTAAATGTGGCAGCAAATAAAATTAAAAAATAGGCAACTTGGCAAATGATAAATCATAGTGTCGGCAAGCCATATATTTGAGAATTGAAATGAAAGCAAATCAAGACAAGCAAGAATAAGGCGGCAGAGAAAAATTGAGAAGCATCCAGAGCATAATATGTCGGTTTATTACAACTATATATATGTATGGAAGCCATATGAAAAATACAAGCGAGAAGTGAGGAAAAGTGAGTAACGAGAAAAAAAATTAGAGAGAATTTAAAGAAAGCTTAGCAAAGCTTGTAAACTAGCAGAAGCTAGTGTCGCAGTATTGTAATATTGAGAGTGTCGTTGTAAAATATTTTGTTTCGTATCAATAAAAAAAGTTCGAGTTATAAATCATCGTGAGTCCATCTACGCTTCCAACATCGACAATAAGAAAAATCAAATTGAATTAGGTTGAAGCGAACGGAAACATATTTTTTAATCATCCCTAATTGATACTCACTATAAGGGTTTATGGGAATATTTATTTTCACATATATGGCAATACTTCAAAAGCAAAATGGAGCATGCTAGTGTTAACATGCAACCTTAAGTTGATATAAATTGCATTGTAGGAGTCCCGCCATGAAGTCACGGTTTCTTTGTCTCACTGAGTGATGTTAGTAAATAGAATAACCTAGAGAGAAGTGTTGTTTATAACCCAGAAAAGGGTACATAAAAACTTGAACAAGCCTATTTCCGATGTGTATGCTTACTAGCTGTTGGCTTGGTGATATACTTTGGAAAGAGACTTATTACCTCATAATTTTGCTAGTCCTAAGGAAAAGTGTGCCTTTTCTTGGTGTGGCTTGTTTTACGCAATTAAACAATTGAATATCGCATACTTTTCATGATTTAGAGACAAAGTCACCATCTCTTACCATTCTAAATTTCAATTATTGGTTAGTTATGTCTATCACAGCAATAGGAATTGAATAATTACATTATATCATTAATAGACCGCTAATCTCTGCCTACTTTTCTCTCAAATACACTCTTGTTCCTTTAAAATATGAACAGAATGTTTTCTTTTTTCAACCATTTAACAGTGATAAAAAAAGATGAAAACGATAGTCATATTATAGCATGCTCCAACAGGGGTACATTAATTCATGATAAATGAACAGAACATTATGAATAGGACATTGTTGTTTCAGATTCTCACTTGCATTGATCCTTGACCTTGAAGAACAAATTCTGATAAATGTCGCCTCTCAAGGCTTTGTTGGATGAAAATCTTATGATCCTCTTCATTACTCTACAGACATGCTCCTCCATAGCCTTCATTTCTGAATAATGCTTGCTTTATATCTTCAGAGCTCATTAATTTCCTTTGCTCTGCAGCCTGATCCATTAGAAGGAACACTTGTTATCGTAGAAAATGCCAACGAATTGCGAGTTCAAGAACATGAATTTCTTAAACATACCTCTGAGCAAGAAGCTTGCATTGAAAAATCATTGAAGCAACTTATGACACACTGTTGGATCTCAAGGCCTAGTGCTTCCAATGTGTTCACTGTAGATAGCAGCAACCCTGGTTTGGTTGAACACCGAATATCGATTCGAGTGTCAGTTTCACTCCTCTCTACATCAAGCTGTGTTTAAGGGGGGGAGGGGAAGTCTCCACTTTACATTGTTCATTTAAGGGATCAATAATGTAAAAACTGAAAGCAGAAATCACTTTTTTTTTTTTTTACCTTGGGGGAATTCCTCACCGACATTTCATTTGGCTTTAGCTCCTTCATGTTGTTCAATGGACTGAAATGATTAAACCCCACTCTTGTTTCATCTTGCTGTAGCTTTTTGATCCTCTCTAGAAGCTCTTTCATGTAATCAATGGTGTCTCCAAGTATAGATGTTCTATCCATCTACAAATTTTCACATTCTTCTAAATAATGCTGAAAAATGAAACTTCTAACAAATTAGAGAAAAGCTGGGTCACCTTGCTGATCTTGGGGACTATTGATCTGAGCATTGAAAGCCTGTCATTTAGTCTCTTCCTTCTTCTTCTCTCCGCCATTAGATTCTTTGAAGGGTGACCTTCAAGCCTCTTACTCTTGGTCTTCCTCTCCACAAACAAGCCCATGTTGAAACCCTGAATGTTGCTGGTTTGTTCCATCTCAACTTTGCAACTACTCTTGGTTTCCTCCAAGCTATGTTGTTGAAGAAGGCCAAACCGATATTCATCGTCAACCATTGATGGGTAGTCTTCATGAGCAGCTGGAAAAATGGAGGCCGAAGATTCCACCTGGAATCCATCAGCAGCTAAAGCGTAGGGTTTGTCATTGAAAGGACACTCAAAGCTTGGGTTTTCATTGGTTGTAGATAACCCTAGAAAGGAAAGATTTGGTGTTGTAGCCAATGTTGGATTTTCATTAAAAGAATCCAAGTTCCATCCATCGGGGAAGAACTCGGCCATCCCATTTGAAAAAGTGGTCCAACTGTCTCTTCTTGGAGCCAATAACTCCTCCAAGAAACTATGCTCCATCTCTACCTGTTTTAAAAAATGTCTGAATGAAAACTGATCCAAGCAGACAACCTTCAAAACATGAAGCTGCACTAACTTACAACAAGTTCTTTTATACAAATAAAATAAAGAGAGAAAGCAAAAAAATTGAGATTAAAAATGGGAATCTGCTACTTTCTCTCTCAAGGTGAATTCATTGTCTTGTTCACAGAAATTTTCAATCAGACAAAGCTTAAATATTTAATTATTCCTAAGCCACCCCCCCCCCTCCCGGGGAAGTGCTTTGACCCACAAATATGTCTTAAAACGAAGAAAAGATGACTTAGCTTAAGCATCATCCTCTCTTTTCTCTTTCATTTCATTACCTCGTCGTCGTCGTCGTTACTACTACTACTGAGTCATCAATTGATAAAAGCGTAAATGTAACTAAAATACTGTTACTCCATCATTATCATTAGCTGCCTATAAATGTAATTAAGACCCTAATAAGATTCCATCCTATTAATAAAATAGAAATTTAATTGCACAGTACACCTTTAACTATGATCTAGATTTTATATTGATCATAAATTTTAAAGTGTTTTAAGTTTTTCTTAAAATATTAATATTATATCAATTATACTCCCTTTGTCCCACTAAATTTATTCACTTTTGACCTTTTTTAGTCAAATTTATTTAACTTTGGTTCATTACTATTTGAAATTTATTATTCATAAAAATATGAAAAAATATATTTTTAAGAATCTTAAATGAAATAATTTTTAAATATATATTTTATAAAATTTAATTGTTTAAAATATTTAAAATAATCATGGTCAAAGTTTATAAATTTTGATTTTTCAAAAGTCAATAATTGACACATTTAATGGGACAGAAAGAGTATTATTCTATCTATTTAATTTTTGTTTGAACATTTAATTTTTTATATTTTAAAGGCTTATATAACAAATAAGTATCTAAAGTATATATTTCTTTTCATTTAAGTACCTAAAGTATTTTTTGGTCAAAATAAGTACATAAGTTATCTTTTTGGTCAAAATAGGTACCTAGAGTATTTTATGTCAAAATAGGTACCTAACTATTCAAATTTTTTCATCTAAGTTCTAAAAAAGTTAACATATGACATTAATTAAATAATACTTTAGTTACTTATATAAAAAAATTGAATACTTTAGGTACCTATTTTGACAAAAAAAATATTTTAGGTGCCTATTTTAACCAAAAATATAACTTTAGGTACTTATTTTGACAAAAAAATACTTTAGGTACTTAAATGAAAAAGATAGTATAGTTTAGGTACTTATTTGTTATATATAAGCCTATTTTAAATTTTAAACATGTGTATGTATATTGTGAATAAAAATTAGATCTAAACTAAGAGAAATAGTCTATTAAATTACTTTTTAACATATCATAATTAAATTATTTATATAAAAAATACATATTTAAATAAAATTTAATTATATGTATAAAATATATATTTTTTGTTAATTTTAAATTATATTTAATGTCTAAATTAACATTTAAAACGATATAAAATTTAATTCATAAATGATAATTTCACGATTAAATTAAAACATTTTAAAATTTTAATAAAAACAAAAATATGAACAATAATTTAGTCTAATAAATTTAAAATAAAAATATAGAGTATATTTATTAAATAATAATTATAATAAAACCATTCAAATATCTTATGGTTTATGAATGCCCCAGCCCCCAAATATGTGCCGGCATTATTATATGAAAACTCCCATAAATTTTTTTGAACAATAATCCCTTAGTATATTAGTTAGAAAAATACCTTCAATTTGCAATGTAGGATAACCTCACATTCTATAAAAAGTAAGGTAAGATCTCACGTTTTACGAAATATGATTTTCATGTATTTATTATAGCCTTTATCTAATATTAAATGACCGTCTTAAAATGTTGATGAATCTTGTGTCCTATAAAACACGAGGTTCATTAAGCGCGTTTTATAAGACGCAAAATAATTTTACTTAAGCAGTTTGAGATTATTTTTCTAACCAGATGTGCTAAGGGGTTATTGTTCAAAAAATAATAAATTGTGGGGTTCTTTTATATAATAACGCCTTTTGTGCCTTCGGTTGTTGGAATTTCTTTCAGTCTCATGGGTAGGGTCGTAGGGAGAGAGTACATTAGGCCTAGATTGTCTTTAACTTGACATTACTAATTAATAAGTGTTATCCTCTAAAGGAAAATGAGTGCAAACAGATAAAACAATTAATGTGTAAACTATATTAGCGGTCTCTTATACTTTTGGTATGTTGAATTTTAATTATCAATTAAAAAAATAATTTTGATTCTTTACATTACTGATTTGATGTTACTCTATTTAAAGAAACTTGGGACATGGATAGTGGTGGATCCACACATTAGGTTTAGAGTGGGCATGTGTTCGCCCTAAATTCTGATTTCTTCTATTATTAACTTATTTTATTAATTGTGCTCACTCTAAAAGTTCATTTGTGTCTATTCATATAAAAATTTTATGTTCTTAATATACATATGTTCATCCTAAAAAAAGTATTTCTGGAATTGCCACTCTAAAAAGGGAGATAATTGACAATGGATAGGGTAAAGTACACAAATAATCCTCCGATATTAGGGTACTAGTTCCTCAACTATTAAAAGTTACAAAATGATCTTTTGAACATAGGATGTTGCTTTGTTGAGTCTCTCGACTATTAAAAATTACAAAATTGTCACCCGACCATTCATATGTTCTAAGCTTGCCTTTTTCCGTTAAAAAATTGACAGTAATCTGAGTTGTACCTTAACACGCTGACACATATGAAAATCAATTAAGATTTTGGGATCAAATTTTATTGTATCTCATTCAACAAATTAACGTTCAACTCAGATTCTCATCAATTTTTAACAAAAAAGGACGAGTTTGTAACATATGAAATTGTCGGATGATTATTTTGTAATTTTTAAGATTGATGGACTTAACAAAGAAACATCATTTAGTCAAAAAACCATTTTATAACTTTTTATAGTGGATGGACTAAAACAAATAGTATCCTATTGTCGGAGGATCATTTGTGTACTTTATCCTAAAATATATCTTAAATTAGAAGATGAATATGACTTGCCCGGACAGTATAAATTATAGAAATTTGGTTCACCTGAAGTTTTTTTTAAAATATGACACAAATCTAAATTTATTGGGCAGAATCTTTCAACCAAAAGGCCGCCACTTCAATTATTATCATCATCATCAAAATACCAACTATCGGAATCTAAGAATTTAGATTTGAGACGCGTGTGTTTAAACGTATCTAAAATATTAGTAGTTATTTAATTAAATATCTAGTAGCTCGATTCAATTTATTAAAAATTTGAATTGAGTTTTGATCGAATCGAATTCAAATAATTTATGATTTATCTCGTATTATTTAGAGTCCTAATTCATGTTTTTATTCATTTATTTTTATCTTAGCAACTCAAATCAGTAAAGAAAAATCTTATTGATTTTAATATTATTTAGTATTTTTATTTTTTAAAATAAACACTGGATTAGAGTAATAAATTTTCAAAATTGTACGCTATTGTATAAAGAATGAATTAAATGTGCGAAGAAATTCATAGATTAGATTAGTAGTAGATTTTTTGTTCGCATTGTAAAAGCACCTGCATTAACCAAATTTCCAAAACCAAAGAGAAACCAGGGGCAGGGAAGGTAGGTGCTGGCAGCCCACAATATATCCAAGGCTTAACAGCAATCACACCAATAAGGTTATCTTAACGATTAAAATAATAATAATTATTTTTAAAGGTCTCATATTCAAATATCATATATTGCAATGATGATAAATTTTTCATTATTAAATTGTTGAATAATTTTAGAATAAATATTAATTTGTAATCATCTTATATTAATCAAAAAAAATTGACAATAGTGTTATTGTTAATGTGATTTTTATATATTATTTTCTCTCTTTATAACAGATTTATATATTATTAATTTTTTTCTATCAATGTGGTGATTAGAAAAAAATTGAACAACTTAAAAAAATGAAAGTTGAACTTAGAATCTTTTTGTAATTAACCACTAAACTAAGTAAAAATATATTAATGTTTTATAAAATATATATATTTAAACTAATCATAAAATAGAAAGAGATGTTATTTAGACAAAAAAAAGATTTGACTCCGGAATCTCTACAACAAGTCTTATACATAACCAATAAAATAGGGTAAAAAATTATTAAAATTATATCAAAAACTAATATTTAAGTTAAAACATATCACTACATCTTCTCTTTTTTTCTTCTTTATGTCAATTTTATTGATCAATTAATTTTTTTCTTCTTAAATTTTGTTTAACCGACGGCGACACTGGTTTTAAAAATGTTGGATGCCCGCTGATTGTATTTTTTTCTCTTTTTTTTAGTTTTTTAATAAGAATAGTTATGTCTTTGTGACATTTTTTCTGCCTTAATGGCATATTTATCTATACCTTTGTTGCACGTTTTTCTTTGTTTTTGATAGCTTACGATTTTTTGTCGTTGTTTTCCTTTATCTTTTTTCACATGGTTGGATTTAACTTCGTCACGATTGATCAAGATGACGCTTATTTGTTATCATGATGATCTTCCCTTCTTTGGACCCTCGGATTGATTTAGATACGTGTTTTGCGTTCGTGTATAGTTTTTTCACGTCGCTTGACTTTGATTTGCGATTTATCATTGGCCTTCAATAGCTTCATCTCCTTTTGTGGTTTATTTGCTGATGCAGTCAGTTTTGTTAGTATATTTATCTTGTTCGAGCTTTTTGGTTAGATTTTTAATCTTTTCCTTATTTGGTCGCTGTGTAATCTAGATGGCTAATTTTTGTGTTAATAGTTATAGGAAAATATACTAATTATAATTTTGTTTACGTTTGCATTATACTTGTAAATCTGTATATTTTATATTTTTAATAAAACTAAAGATTTTTTATAATTTTTTTTTAAACTTATCACTATTTTAAATTAAATCAAAATACTATTAAGGAGGATTGAATTCGAGGGACCCAATTACAACAACAACAACAACAAAACCCAATTCCCATATGCAATGGGGTAAGGGGGAGGTAGGGTAGTAGGCTGCCCCCAACGCCAGGTTGAGAGTAGCTTCCGTGGAAGACCTCCGGCAGTCAGAAAATTAAAAATATAGATAAAATGCAAAGCATGTATAAATAAAT